GCACCCACTTTCACTACAATTCCCTGTGGTTGATGGGAACTGTGGTTTCTATGTACTGCAGAGAGGGAGAGAAGAGGATATAGTGTAATCCTTGCTGTTACATCTCCTCCTTGGCAGAGTAGAGGCTGTTATCTTTGGAATTACAGAGACCAGGTCATGAAAACTCAAATAGACTTTTCACCTAAATTGTATGGATTTTCAAAATGTTATTAACTGTTTAGTGTTTTGTGTAGGGGTGTAATCATGGGTGATTTTTTTACCTATCACAGAGTTCTTCTTTAGTGCCTTGCAGCACTAAGGTCATCAGTTATAACCTCAAGCATGACACCTGCATGGAGTTTGCATGGCCTCCATGTGCTTATGTGGGTTTCCTCCCACACTACAAAGACATGCTGGTAGGTTGATTCATTCCTGTCTAAATGGTCCTAATATGTGTATGTATGTGAGGTTAGGGTATTAGATTTTAAACTTCTTGAGGGTAGGGACTGATGTAAATGTACAATATGTAAAGCACTATGTAAATTGTTGGTGCTATAGAAATACTTAATAATAAAAAATAGGTGCATTTTTTAGTTTGCTGAAAATGTATTACTCATTCACAATTTGTGATAAATGGCAAAATAAGATGATGACCTTATGTCTAAGATCTGTACAAGGTCCCATTGAAATTCAGCTGAATTTTTGTCAGCCTGTGGTCATCCCTGCTCAACATAATTAGGCCGTTTGATTGACTTCTGTCTAATGCAGGCCATAGATGGGTCGAAAATCGGCCGATTTTTCGGCCGAAAATAAAATCGTCTGATTTTCGGATCGTTAGTGGGCTAAATGGTCGGCCGTTTTTCGGTATTTTGGCAGATTTTTTTATCGGTAAAGTTGGAAAAGAATCGGGCGATTTTGCCTATCGGCCGATTTTCGTGGCAATGATGGGCAAATCGGCCGATATTTTACCGATAAAAAAATCTGCGCATGAGCAGTGACCTGCAAGAGGAAGACAAAAAGAAGAAGAGGATGAAGCAGAAGAAGAAGAAGAGGAGGATGAAGAAGAAGAAGAAGAGGATGAAGAGGATGAAGAAGAAGCAGAATAAGAGGAAGAAGAAGAGAAGAAGAAGAGGAGGATGAAGAAGAAGAAGAAGAGGATGAAGAAGAGAAGAAGAAGAGGATGAAGAAGAGAAGAAGAAGAGGATGAAGAGGATGAAGAAGATGATGAAGATGAAGAAGAAGAAGAAGAAGAAGAGGATGAAGAAGAGAAGAAGAGGATGAAGAAGAGATGAAGAGGAAGGTGAAGAAAAGGAAGATGAAGAAGATGAAGAAGAGGATGAAGAAGATGAAAAAGAAGAAGAAGAGGATGAAGAAGAAGAAGAGGATGAAGAAGAGGATTAAGAAGAAGAAGAAGATGAAGAAGAAGAAGAAGTAGTAGAAGAAGAAGAGGATGAAGAAGAAGAAGTAGAAGAAGAAGAGGATGAAGAAGGGGATGAAGAAGAAGAAGGATGAAGAAGAGGATGAAGAAGAAGAGGATGAAGAAGAAAAGGAAGATGAAGAAGAGGATGAAGAATAAGAGGAAGAAGAATAAGAGGAAGATGAAGAAATGGATGAAGAAGAAGAAGAGGATGAAAAAAGAAGAAGAAGAGGAGGATGAAGAAGAAGAAGAGGATGAAAAAGAAGAAGAAGAAGAGGATGAAGAAGAAGAAGATGAAGAGGAAGGTGAAGAAGAGGAAGATGAAGAAGATGAAGAAGAGGATGAAGAAGATGAAGAAGAAGAAGAGGAAGAGGATGAAGAAGAAGAGGATGAAGAAGAAGAGGAATTCCAGTCCGGCAAAAAGTGTCCCTGCAGAGAGCTCCGATATTTCTTCTGACTGTTCCGTGACATTTATAGCGGTTGCAACAATGTATTTATTTGTTTCCGAATAAAAACATCTGTATCCTAAATGGATACAAATAGATACATTGTTGCAACCGCTATAAATGTCAAGGAACTGTCAGAAGAAATAGCAGAGCTCTCTGCAGGGACACTTTTTGCCGGCTGTAGACGGGATGAAAATTGGCCAATTTTTTTTTTTTTTTACCGTTGCTGGTAACGTTGGCCGCTTGAACGACCGATTTTTTGTTTTTTTAAAAGAAAAATCGGCCGATTTTCGACCCGTCTATGGCCGGCCTAAGGGACAAAGAATCTTTTTTTGATCATTGGCTGCAGCTGCTGATCAGTATGTTCTGATAGCAGCAGGTACAGTCTAAACGGGGGAATTCCTCCTTCCACCTTGTTTTTGTGTATGGAAGAACCCGTTGGCTTTAGCATACGATAGTCGAAAAAAGTTGTATTTTTATGTGTTTAATGACGTATAAAAAACTTCCAGCTGAGACATAAGCAGAGACTTCTAATGGTTTTAACTGTGATCTCTGTTATCTACTCTTACATCAGTTATCTGCTACTTTGTTCATCACACATTTCCTCCAACAACACATTAGGAAGATATCATTGGGAGGGCATGTGAGAGACATATGCTGCTGTACATGAGACTATCACACACATTGTTACCACCAGACACATTTTACTTACAATCAAGCTCCCATGGATGACAGATCTTTTATAACTATGTTTTAGCTCTAGGCACATTTTCATCAGCTTAGTGGCTAAAGGCACGTGTTTATTAGGATGTTTGCAACTTGTTTCTTCAAATGAATCATTTCTGAAGAATCCAAATATAAACATTTAATGACTTCTTGTCCCAAGGAAATCAATTAGCACATTCGTATATAAACCAGGACTGAGTGATAGTGCAATTAGCTACAGCTTTCAAGTTTCCTTTTTCGCTAACAGTTCACTTGGCAGAATTCAGTAGAGGAAGTGAAACTTATGTTTTGTGTAACTGTCACCCACATTTGTGCCTCATTTTTTCAGTCCACCAATAGCAGGCCCCCTGCCAACCTAATTTTATGTATGCCAGTTCCCTCTCCCACCTCATTTACTGAACTCTATTTAGTGGATTCAACCTTTAGGGTCTTTTCACACGGGCGTTCCGTTTTTTTTTTTTTTTTCTTCAGTTCAGTCACGTTTTTTCAAAGAAAAACAGATGAGTTTACATCCGTTTTTTCATCCGTTTACATCTGTATTTTCATATGTTTTTTTTCATCCATTTTTTATCCGTTTACATCCGTTTTTCATCTGTTTACATTGGTTTACATCCATTTTTCATCAGTTTAGATCCGTTTTCATCCATTTAGATCTATTTTCAGCCATCTACATCGTTTTTGGTCCGTTTACATCCGTTGATATCCGTTTTTCGTCCATTGCAGGTTTTTTGGTGAATGAAAAATAGGGTTTTCTTCCGTTCAAAAAGATGGATGTTAACAGATCCGGACATTAATGGATGTAAAAAGATGTTCATCCGTTTACATCCGCAAGTCCATAGACATACATGGGGGTTCATTTTTCATCCATAAACAGACAGATGAAAAACAGACATATGGAACACCCGTGTGAAAGAGGCCTAAAACAATATTCAGTATTGTATTTACTAGCCAAAACCACAGTTACATTACCAACCTCATCTCAAGATAGTCCCCAAATTGTCCTCTCTACTTCTCCAAAGACCTCCTACTCTCTAGATACCTTGTTACCTCCTCTAATGCTCATCTCCAGAACATCTTCAGAGCATCTCCCATCCTCTGGAACTCCCTACCACAGTGTGTCCGGATAGCTCCTACCCTGTCCACCTTAAGGTGGTCCCTGAAAACGTATTTATTCATGGAAGCCTACCCCACCTCCACCTAAAAACTGTACTCGGAAACCTCCATCAAATCATTCCCCACAGCTGTTACCTTTTGTACCACCTCCTCCTCCCTTTAGATTGTAAGCTCCATGCACAAGGTCCTACTATTCCTTCTGTATTGAACTGTATTGTAATTGTACTGTTTCCCTTTAAATTGTATAGTGCTTTGCAAACGTTCAGAGCTATCGTATTTGCCGGCGTATATAAGACGACTTTTTAACCCATGAAAATCTTCTGAAAAGTCGGGGGTCGCCTTATACACCGGTATACGGCGAGCCGGTGTCAGGGCGGCACTTTTTTCGAGGGGGGGCGGCGCGGTGGCGGAAGGGACACTAAGTACAGGGGCGGGCAGGGTTCTGCTGTACCTTACCTGGCTCCGGTCCCGGTCCCACGACGATCCGGTCCAGGAAGCGCGTCTGCTCCTTCTTTCAGTTCGGCCGCTCGATGGTCGCGCGGCCCGCTCGGCTCCGCCTCCTCACCGGTGATTGGACGCCAGCACTGGAAAGGCACACAGGTGACCAATCACCGGTGAGGAGGCGGAGCTGAGCGGCCCGTGAAAATTGAGTGAGGGAGCGGCCAGTAAGTGTGCAGCAGCACCATGCTGTGACACTCTTGGCACTATTCCTCTCCCCCACTGACACTAACGATGGGGCACTGTTCCTCCCCCACTGACACCAAATGAGGCACTGTTCCTCCCCCACTGACACCAACGATGGGGCACTATTCCTCCCCCACTGACACCAACGATGGGGCACTATTCCTCCCCCACTGACACCAACGATGGGGCACTATTCCTCCCCCACTGACACCAACGATGGGGCACTATTCCTCCCCCACTGACACCAACGATGGGGCACTATTCCCTCCCCCAATGACACCAATGATGGGGCACTATTCCTCCCCCACTCACACCAATGATGGGGCACTATTCCTCCTCCCCAATGACACCAATGATGGGGCACTATTCCTCCCCCACTCACACCAACGATGAGGCACTATTCCTCCTCCCACTGACACCAACGATGAGGCACTATTCCTCCTCCACACTGACACCAACGATGAGGCACTGTTCCTCCCCCACTGACACCAACGATGGGGCACTATTCCCCCCCCCACTGACACCAAAGATGGGGCACTATTCTCCCCACTGATACCAATGATGGGGCACTTTTCCCACCACTGATACCAACGATGGGGCACTATTCCTCCCCCACTGACACCAACGATGGGGCACTATTCCTCCTCCCCAATGACACCAATGATGGGGCACTATTCCTCCCCCACTCACACCAATGATGGGGCACTATTCCTCCTCCCCAATGACACCAATGATGGGGCACTATTCCTCCCCCCACTCACACCAACGATGAGGCACTATTCCTCCTCCCACTGACACCAACGATGAGGCACTATTCCTCCTCCACACTGACACCAACGATGAGGCACTGTTCCTCCCCCACTGACACCAACGATGGGGCACTATTCCCCCCCCCCACTGACACCAAAGATGGGGCACTATTCTCCCCACTGATACCAATGATGGGGCACTTTTCCCGCCACTGATACCAACGATGGGGCACTATTCCTCCCACTGATACCAATGATGGGGCACTATTCCTCCCACTGACACCAATGATAAGGGTCAATTCCTGCCACTGATACCAATGATGGGGCGCTATTCCTCCCACTGACACCAATGATGGGGCGCTATTCCTCCCACTGACACCAATGATGGAGCACTATTCCTCCCACTGACACTAATGATGGGACACTATTCCTCCCACTGACACCAATGATGGGGCACGCTGACACTAATGATGGGGCACCATCATTGGTGTCAGTGGGAGGAATAGTGTCCCATCATTGGTATCAGCAATTGGTATCATCATCATTGGTATCAGTGGGAGGAATAGTGCCCCATCATTGGTATCAGTGGGAGGAATAGTGCCCCATCATTGGTGTCAGTGGGAGGAGTAGTGCCTCATCATTGGTATCAGTGGGAGGAATAGTGCCCCATCATTGGTGTCAGAGCGAGGAATCATGCCCCATCATTGGTGTCAGTGGGAGGAATAGCACCCATCATTGGAATACCATACTGAAATAGCATACCATATTGAAATCAAATCTGATGTTTTTTCATTTTTATTTGGTGTGCGTTGGAAGAGGGATAGTCTTATACGGCGAGTATAGCTCAAACCCTATATTTTAACAGGAAAAGTAGGGGGTCGTCTTATACGCCCAGTCGTCTTATACGCCGGAAAATACGATATATACACCCTGTATAATAATAATAATATTAATAATCTATCTGTTTATTATAAGGAACTAAAAAACAGATCAGTATGTGTGAAAGAGAGAGAGAACAGATGGTTGAATAGATTATTGAATATACTGTAAATAAATAAATATAACAACATAAGGTATTAATAAGATTTTAACCTCTTTCCACCCACATAACATATATGTGTGGCAGCAAAAAAAGGCTTTAATGACCACTTGCCACACATGCATCCATGGAGGTTTCTGTGCTGGGAGCATGCTCACTGCACTCACAATCACCAAGCTGTCATAGACAGTTCTCAGTCTCTAGTCATGATAGGGAGCCTGTGGGATGGGCTTCTGACTATGTGGCCACTGTGATAGCCAATCAGCCACATCACCAAGCATAAATACCCAGTTAAAGGGAAGCCGGGGCTGGGAAGCCACATGGCCAGAAAGGGATAGATATAAGTATTTTTTAGGTTACCAATCCCAGCACCCACCCCCCCCCCCCCATCCAAAGTCTTATACGTACCTGTCGTCCACATTGCTGCCAGATCCATGCTATCTCGCTTCGTTATGAGCTGTCTGGGCTCATAATATTCATCCCTATAGAGATATAGAAATGCTGTCAGTTACATGTTGCAACTATAATATAGAAATTTCGAAGTACTGAAATTTTGGCTACCATCCACCAAATATAAAAGAAGTTGCTGTAACCACATGGTCAAAAAACACTAAAAAAGTATAAAAATAAAATGCTACAGCACACTCTCAAGTAACCTAAAATATGTGACAAGTCAATGACGTGTGAATAAAATAAAACAACTCAGAAACATTATAACACATCTACAAATGAATGCATGTGTCAATAAATGACCAGCCAATATAATATGTAGCTTTACAAAGTTCTGTTGTGACAAATTGTGGTGGAAGACAGAGCTATATCACTCATTGGTTTCCTCTGAGTCCTGCTGCAGCTTATGTCACAATTTTTCCTCTAATGCTCCATTATGAAGTTTAGAATTCTTAGGGCCAGTTCATACCATAACATGTGCTTTCTCGGGTGCGTTTTCATGAATCGGGCATGGTGCATTTTCAACAGCCCATCAATTTCAATGGGCTGCCAAACATGCAGGAATGCAAAAAAAAAAGTATGTCTGGCACAATTTTTTAAAACACGTTGCACCAAACTGCATGGTACTGCAGTACCATGCATTTTGGTGGCCACAAGTGCAGGACCATTTGCTAGATCTGTGGGGGTGCCATTAAAAATGAGTGCGTCTGTAGATGGCAGTGCATTCCCCTTATGCAAGTGGTGTGAACGAGCCCTTAATCCATGCAATTGTAAGCACTGATCCAAATGAGTGGCATACGTTTTTAAGTTTCTTTAATAAAGTCTGTGGTTTTACACTTTGTGACGTTTTTCTTTTTGGTATGGCTTACAAGTGGTGAATTTTGAAAAGGAGATGTTTTAAAGGCTAAGTTCACCTTTGGAACTCATTTAGGGTGTAACATGTAACATGTTCCAGCTTATTCCCCGCTCACCCCCCCACACCTATTCCACTGTGACAGCGGGCAAGGGATCCTCTGCCCCGCACCCACTGTCACAAAAAGCAGCGTGAATCTGTGAATGAAGACACTACAAGTCCCAACTGACACTGCGGCAGATGGCTTGTAGTTCTCAATGGACTGTGATGGTACTGATGAGCACCTTCATAGTTCATTGACACTTCCTCCAACAGAAAGCCCATACAGTTTGTAGTGACAAGAAAGCTGGAGTAAGTGTCTGCAGAAACCTGACATTGCACCCATGATCCGCTGATTGTGGGTGAAATACTTTGTAGGGGAAAAGCATGCACTTTTTTTTCTGCAAAAATATGTGCATTCATTTTTTTTTTCCTAAATGGTGAACTTAGCCTTTCTTCTGTCTCTGAACTTAACCTTGAAAGCTGGAGGGCTGGGAAATCCTCCTATTACTGAGCGATGGTTATTGGTATGGAGAACATCTCAAGATCGGAAGATAAGATCAGAAAGTGTAGTGACAGTTTTAAGCTTTTCTGACCTTGAAATATAGAGGTCATTATTTTCTGGTGCTTTCCCTGTTTGCATAGAGGTGGAAAATCATTGGACAATGGGTGCTGTGTTCTGTTGTGTAATGATCACAAGGTTTGACATGCATGAAGGTATTTTCAAACCGCATGGGTTTGACACAGAGTTTGGGACTGAATATATATAAATCTACACATTGCTACAAATGATATTGTTTGGATATTTTTTTTGACACGTATTCATTTGGAAAATGGCATAATGTTTAGGAGTTTGTTTATTTTATTCACATCATTGACTTGTCACATTTTAGGTTACTTTCGAGTGCGCTGTATCCATTTGTTTTTATATGTTCCAACAATAGATGAGATTTTTCCACGAAAGCATAGAAGAAGCAAAAGACCATCCAGGAGAATTTGCAATGGTGGCAGCACAGGTCCCAGTGATTCGCACAGTTTAGATCTGGCAGAAGTATAAGGATCCAATCAGGGATGGACTGACAACTCATGGGGCCCCTGGGCAATAGGGGATCATGAGGCCCCTGTGTCCTTGCCCAAACTTAAAAAAGCCTATGAAAAAGGTACCACAGCATCTCATGGGGCCCTCTACTGGCCCCGGGCCCTCGGGCAGTGCCCGAGTTTCCAAATGGTCAGTTCGCCCCTGGATCCAATTACATTTTTGTGGTGCGTTAACGTGCACTATTTTGCACATTACCATGTGCTGCAATTAAGCGGAACCAAAGTCTCCAAATAAACTGTGATCAGGCAGGCTCTTTAAGACCCCGGTCGCACTGGGTGCGACGTTGCATGTGATTTGCATGCCATGCGACTTGCAAATTGCATGCCAAGTCACCCCCTTTTGTCTGCAATTACTGCAGTCTTATCGGTGTGGTTCCGACTTGGTCGGAGCCACACTGTTTTCTAAAGTAATGCATGCACTACTTTTGGTGCGATTTGCATAGACATCTGTGTCAGATGTCTTGGAAATCGCACCTCAAATTACACTGGCATCAAGACTTCGAAATCGTGCGACTTACAGTGAACTTGCATGATTTCAAAGTCAGGATCAATGTGACCGGGGTGTAATGCACACGAGACATGCAATGTATCTTCTGCAATAAAGTAAACCTACAGTACCTGCCTGCTCAAATCTTCTGCAGAATGTACACTGAGTTGCACATGCACAGCTCAGTTTACATTTTGGCATAGAGCCTGTGGGATGGGAAGACTGCATTCCTGAGCATGCCTGGGAGTGGTCATCCTTCACTGGCATAAGATATGGGTGTTTATGTCAAAACAAGATGTCAGAAGACCAACACCTGGAAGCTGGGGGGGGGGGAGCTGGCAAGGGACCTCACAGGCATCAGACCGTTTGGGCAAAGGTAAGTATTGCTGAATTGCTATTGTCAGCAAATCTCAGCTGCCATAATGAACATCATTATGTTTTCTGTACCACAGCAGCAGCTATAGCTACAGCATCACCAGGTTTGAATAAGGGGAGGATTTGAACCTAGTTAGGCTAGGTTCACAGCTATGCAGGTTGTGTTTGATCCATTTCTGCAGTGCTTTTTGTGGTGTGTTTTGTGTTTTTGGACATGCGGTTTTGACACGTTTTGTGGGTTTTTTTGCCAACTTGTTGCTGGGCAGATTAAACGCATCACAAATGCATTTCAAACATACTACATGCATTTCTGTAGCGACTCCATTGAAGTCTATTGAACCAAAATGCAACATTTTGTGTTTAAAAAAGTCCCTGAACCTTTCCAAAACATGCGGAGAGATATGAACGTGTCCCATAAGAAATCATGTTAAATGGACTGTAGTGTGTCTCTGCAAAATGCATGGCAAAACACTAAAGTGTGAACCTAGACTATAGAAGGGCCACACGCAAGTTTCACCATAACTTCCTCAGAAGGGTGTGGTTCAGTCTTTCTGTATCTGAGAGTCATCACCAGCAGATGTGTTCCAGCATTGCCAGATTACAGACATATTAGAATGGGGTGGACTGTAGCAGTACAGCAATGTCTGCATGCAAACATGAACCACTCATCAGGTATGCTGTTGTATAGCAAGGACAAGCTGCTGCTGTGTAAAACAAAGTTTCTGAGCAGTGTTCCAGCAGCGTTCAGAAGCTTCATTGAGCAATCTGATAACGGTATTATTATTTTACCATAATATTGGTTTCATTCATGTGCAGATCAGAGGGGTGACCTTTGCTCTACATATGATATTAGAAAAAGCAACCTTAATACAAGTAGGAGATTAAAAAAAAAACAAAAAACTCCTTATTACCACCTAATCAACTTTAATCAGCCCTTCCCTTCACCTCCCCTATATTTTGACAAATTTTTATTGCTATTTATTTTTTTATATCACATTGCTTAAAATTTGTATTCCTTTTCATAGGTTTTTTTTTTTTTTTTTATTGTAGTAATGCCTCAAAACATCGCTGAAATTAGGGGGGAAAAAAGGAATTTGTTTCATCTGTAAATTACTTTTTACTTACACAAGCATTC